TATATATATATATATATATACAACTTATTAATTTGTAGGGAACGGATATTTTTGTTGCTTATTTCGAACTCTAACTTGAATGGGAGACGTCCAAGAATTCATATTTTTTTAATGAGTAGTTCGGCTGAAAAGTTTTCTTTGCTCTTAAGGATCATAAGGTAGGGAAAGGTAACGAAGAATCTTTTGCTTTATAGTAACATTTATAATTTTTAAGGAATTTTTTGAAATTTTGTTGGTTGAAAATACTGTCGTTTGCAGCAGCAGTTATCAGTTTTCACCATGAATGGGAGAGAGTGGCAAGCAGTAGTCTTATGTGGCGGTCCTGGCAGTCGAATGACTGAACTGACCGATCACATCCCGAAATGCCTGCTTCCAATCGCTGGTGTGCCGCTTTTTTGGTATCCGCTCAACTTCTTGCAAAAGAACTCTGTGTTTGGTAATTATATGGAATTTTATGAACAGTTAGTTTCGGACCTTTCGTATAACCGCATGGGAGGTCATATAGATTCCTACTCTGATGAAACCGAATAGAATTTACGCATAGAATACTTGTGTCATATGTGTTCAGCAAAACCGTTTTCTGGTTTTGCCGTTTTTTAATATATTTTTACCGGTTCTATTAGTAAGAGGAGCTTTTAAGATTTAAGTTTTATCAAAGCGGTAATATACCTTTACTACTTTGGAATCTTCATTTTTCAGATATTCTTCTAATTGTTAACGAGAAGCAGCTAGCTGAGGTTAAGTCCTTCCTACAAACGAAGGTGGGCTTACCGCCTCTCAATAGTTTAGACATTGAGATTGTTGCTTGTTCAAATGAAGATTACGGGACCGCAGATGTTCTTCGGCATTTTGCAGGAAAAATAAAGGTTCATAAAAGCTTCTGTTTGTATACCTGAAGTTGTTTTATTTTATGTACTAGTTTTTTTGTTATTAATGCGAATTTTTTTGTTGATTACAAATATTTCAAATGATCTACTTTAATGGCAGTTTCTGCTCCATATTTTATTTGGGTTTTAAAAACGCTGGATATAGTTGCACGGACGGATAATCCTGACGAGTGTATAGTCGGGTGTGATTAATTTTGCTGTGAAATAGTAAGAAGAAACATTATAGATATTTGAAATAGCAAACCGTTGCCAACTTTAGCAGTTCTTCTTTTTAATTGTAAGCATTTCGTAGTTTGCAGAAAGACTTTATTGTGGTCAGTGGGGATTTCGTTTCTGACATGAGTTTAGAACCAGTTTTTTCTTTACATCGTGCAGAAGATTCAGCTGTAACATGCGTATTTTCCGACAGTGTGGTAACGGGTCCTGCTCCTGGTCCAAAAACAAAGCGTTCGAAAGGTTCATGGTAGTCTTATAAGCATTTATCGTAGTAAAAGAATGTTTCATCTGTGCTTTTCAGCAGGGCTTCTGTAATTAGATG